GTAAATACTTTTCCATCTTCTCCTGATCAAGTTTTTCTAAAAGTTTTGATTGGCACACAAGATAAGTAACTGAAAATAAAACACCCTTTGGAAGCCTCGAAAAACCAGGTTAACTTCGTACACAGGTGACCGATTACCAGTGCTTGGCAAATTATGGTTACACTGTAAATACAATAAAAACTAGAACTGCCACTATCATGGCGTGAATACCCCCGCATACCACTTTGTCAGAATCAACAGTGGCCATTTAGAGCTCAAGGACAACCTCCCTGCCAAATCTGAGGTTACTAAGCCAGTGCATTGCTAAGTTATGTATTCTACATGCTTCAAATGTGAAAATGTCAAAATCAATACATTGCGGACAGGACATTCTTTAGCAATTAAGAAGAAAAGCTTTTTTTGTCAAGGTCCCTGTGACCTTGACCTTTGACCCAGTGACCTCAAAATCAATAGGGGTCACCTTATAGTCATGATAAACATCCATGCCAAATATGAAGACTGTGGGTCAAAGGAATCTTAAGTTAATGGTTGGACAAACGTTTTGAAGTCAAAGTCCCTATGACCTTGACCTTTGATCCAGTGACCTCAAAATCAAAAGGGGTCATCTACTAATCATGACTAACCTCCATGCTAAATATGAAGACTGTGGATCAAAGGAATTTTAAGTTATAGGGCGGACAAGCTTTTTGAAGTCAAGGCCCCTGTGACCTTGACCTTTGACCTGGTGACCTCAAAGTCAATAGGGTTCATCTACTTATCATGACTTACCTCCATGCCAAATATGAAGACTGTGGGTCAAAGGAATCTTAAGTTATTGGGTGGACAAGCTTTTTGAAGTCAAGGCTCCTGTGCCCTTGACCTTTGACCTGGTGACCTCAAAGTCAATAGGGGTCATCTACTAATCATGACTTGCCTCCATGCCAAATATGAAGACTGTGGGTCAAAGGAATCTTAAGTTATTGGGCGGACAAGCTTTTTGAAGTCAAGGCCCCTGTGACCTTGACATTTGACCTGGTGACCTCAAAATCAATAGGGGTCATCTACTAATCATGACTTACCTCCATGCCAAATATGAAGACTGTGGGTCAAAGGAATTCTAAGTTATGGGGCGGACAAGCTTTTTGAAGTCAAGGCCCCTGTGACCTTTGACCTAGTGACCTCAAAATCAATAGGAGTCATCTACTTATCATGTCTAATCTCCATGCCAAATATGACGACTGTAGGTCAAAGGAATCTTACGTTATTGGGCGGACAAGCTTTTTGAAGTCAAAGCCCCTGTGACCTTGACCTTTGACCTATTGACCTCAAAATCAATAGGGGTCATCTACTAATCATGACTAACCTCCGTGCCAAATATGAAGACTAAGGGTCAAAGGAATCTTAAGTTATTGGGCGGACAAGAAAAAACCGACGGACAGCCGGACGGCCGGACAGCCGGACGGCCGGACAAGCTGATTCCAGTATACCCCCCTTACAACTTTGTTGTGCCGGGGTATAATTAGTGTGTTCCGAATTTTATGTAGTTAAGAGTTCTGCTATCCCGCTGTTAAGCCCCAAAACATCTATAGATTTAGATCTGTTAAGATTAACGTATTCGGTCAGTAAGATTAAATCTATTGACGCATCTGACCTTAGTAAGGACACTGTACTTAGAGAGTACAAAGAATTGTTTCATGGGATAGGGTTATTTCCTGGAATATGTTTATTGCATTTGAAAGAAAATGCTGTACTTGCTATTTGTCCACCTAGAAAAGTACCTTTTGGACTCAGAGATCAGCTTAAAAAGAGATCGACTCAATGGAGTCAAAACAAATTATATGTAAGGTTACAGAACCTACAAACTGGGTAAATTCACTAGTATGTGTTGAAAAACCTTCAACCGGTAAGCTTAGAATCTGTCTTGACCCCAAAGCATTGAATGAAAATATACAAAGGCCGTATTATCCATTACGTACTATTGACGACATTACGTCAAAATTGCATGGCGCTTAATACTTCAGTGTATTAGACGCAACCAAAGGTTACTGGTCAATTAAGTAAGACGACCATTCATCACTCACGACATTTAACACAGTATTTGGACGGTACAAATATTTAAGACTTCCTATGGCCATAAGAAATTCTCAAGTCATTTTCCAACGGAAAATTAACGAGACATTTGAAGGTTTACAGGGTGTGGCGTCAATAATTGACGACTTATTAGTGTTTGGAAGCACTCGCAGAACATGACAGAAACCTTAAGGAGCAAAGGCAGCCGGTTTACGATTTAACCCTGACAAACTGAAAATAAGTCTAACAGAGGTTAAATATTTCGGTCATGTGATCAGTGCTGATGGACTGAAACCGACCTTGAGAAAATTAGCGCAATTATCGAAATGAAAAATCCGGCAAATCGTGCTGAGCTTGAAACCGTGCTGGGTATGATTACATACTTGACATAATTCTCACAAAATCTCTCGGAGATATCTAGCCCGATGCGAGAGTCATTACGTAATGACGTAGAGTTCAGATGAAATTCAGCCCAATCTGACGCTTTTAACAAGGTTAAACAAGTGATTACACAAGCACCTGTACTCAGTTACTATGATTCATCGAAGCCTGTTAGATTGCAATTGGATGCTTCGTCCAAAGGGCTTGGTGTTTGTTGTTTACAAAATGGTAAACCAATTACATACGCTTCAAAGACAATGACATTGACCGAGAAAGTATATGCACAAATAGAAAAAGAGATGCTGGCAATATTATTTGGATGCACTAGATTTAAGCATTACATTTACGGACGGCGCAGGTTTGTTGAATCTGACTGTAAACCGATAGTATCTATTATGAGAAAACCACTTTATAGTGCCCCACCTAGGTTACAATGGATGTTATTACAACTTCAAGATTTTGACCTCGATGTTATTCACTGTAGAGGTAAAGATATTCCGCTTGCAGATGCTCAGTCGGAATTACGTAACTGACACCTTTCCTAATCTGATTGACGGATTAGAAACGCATGTACACACTGAACTGAAATCACTACCGATAAGTGATTTAAAATTGCAGGAAATTCAAACAGCAACGCAAAATGATGCTCAGTTACAAACGCGTATTAGAAATTGCCCTGCGACTGTATCAGAATACTGGAATCATAGAGACAAATTGGCTTTTGAAGACAATATTGTGTTCAATGGTCAAAAAATAGTAATACTAAAATCTTTAAGACAGGACATGACTAACGCAGTACATGTGGGTCATTTTGGTGTAGAAAAAACGACAGGACGGGCTAGGGATATAATGTTTTGGCCATCAATGTCAAAACAAATTACAGATTATGTACTTAAGTGCCAGATTTGTTGTAAATATAGAGACTCGAGTAAAATAGAACCATTACATCCTCATGATATACCCCAAAGACCAAAGCAATATTTATCATGCGATTTATTTACGTGGAATGGTCAAGATTTTATGGTTCTTGTTGACGCTTACAGTCAATATTTTGAGTTCGACCTATTGACTAGCATTTCCAGTACTTGTATTATAAGAAAACTTAAGGTACATCTTAGCAGATTTGGTATATGTGAGAAGTTAAAAACTGACAATGGGACATGCTATACTGGTGAACAATTTCAGAACTTCCTTAAACAATGGAACATTTAACACGAAACTTTAAGTCCCACGCATGCAAGTTCAAATGGACTTAGTGAAGTATATGTTAAAATTGCAAAACGCATTCTTCAGAAAGCTAAGGATGACAATAAAGATCCTTATTTGCCCATTTTAGAATATAGGAATATACCACTTAAATGCGGATGGTCACCCGCTCAACTTTTAATGAGCAGACGCCTCAAGTCGCTTCTCCCAACAACTAACAAGGAGCTTTTGCCACAAACAGTAAATCATTGTGAAGCAAGAAAGAAAATGGAAAAAATTACAATTAATTAGCAAGAATCATTACGATGAAAATGCGCACAAAATGAAACCTCTAAAAATTGGAGAATCTTTCAGAATTCGAAAAGATAAGTACTGGTGGGAACCAGCCAAGGTTTTAACCCAGCATACTGAACACTCATTTCACGTGCAAATCCCTGACGGTGCTGTTTATCGTAGAAATCGCCGTTTCCTTAACAAAGCTCCTGAACTATCTGACCCACAGCAACCATCTAAAGTCGATGAACCCCAGGAATCTATTTTAAGTGAACAAACAAGTCAAAATACCCCTACAGAGTCCCTATCTCCTGCAAATGTGCCAGGTCAATCGAAACCATTCACAATCACTAGGTCAGGTAGAGAGGTGAAACCGAATAAGCTTTACTGTGAAGTGATAACATTTGTTGAAATAGCAATTAGTGAAACTGTAAATCAGTGACAGTTAGAAAGAATTAAAATGTTTGCTTGTTAATATTAATAATACATGTATATTTCAATGTCATCATAAAAAGATCATTAATTATCATGAATGTATTTTACAGATTTATTTGAAATATACTAAATGTGCTTATATTTTTAAACAAGGGGAATGTTGTATATTGTATACATGTATGTTAAATCTTAATAATATCTTATACTGTAATGCGCATGTCAATTATCTTCCCGCCACTTAAATACTTGGAACATTCAGTGGTCAGATAGAACTGGCAACACGTTATTAATAAATTAATAAATATACCCATAATACAACATTACCCATCTATAGAACACTCTTTCTTATGCATACAGTCTTCGCATACTCTTTACACTGTACTTACCAAAATATTTATTATTGAGAAGAGGAGCGTGTTAGGTACATATTATATTTTCTGTGTTGTGTTGTCATTTTATTGTTCAATATATGTGTAAACAGTGAATTTCCGGTAATAAGCGTACGTTATGGAACCATCGTTGCGTCTGCAATAGGAGACGATTACAGACGCCACGGAACAAACGACAATCGATGCATGCGCGGCTATAAAGTATAAAGCAAAATTAACATACAATATAACAAATCAATCGACCAATGACAAATGTAAGAAACTCACCCTGAAGTCAGAGTCCCATGCTCGACTATCGCAGATGCGCATTAAAACATGAAGTGCACTGTCCAACTCAGACTTTGATTCGTTTTCAGCTTTAAACAAAGCAAATACAATAGTCAAATTAAGCAAAATATCTATTCCACGATCACAAAAACCGTAGTTTATACAAAAAAGGGATTCCTCGAGGGCTTTCAATCGGTTATCAAATAGACTCTCACGTTATTTTATGGATCATATAATTTGATCATTTTTGTAATAACTATGGCCACTTGATGTTGTTTTTATTAGACCCCTTACTTGTTTAACAGGTTTAACCCCTCGTTCGTTCATCCGAAGAAATTTGGATCCAGTCAAGACTTAAAAATACCAAAGCTAAGATGATGCTACTTGGCATGTGGATTTAATTATGTTAGAGTGGTTGCTATGGTTATGGATATAATGAAAAACAATAAATATTGAACAAAACTGGATCCAACGATAACTAAAAAAGTACAAAAGCTACATTGATAATACTTGGGTTGTTGATAGAGGGCAATATGGAAATTATGCACATTTTTTGTCGAGTCCGCTTTCAGTAAGCTCGACTAAGTCGTCACTTTTGGCGTATAGTTCAGTGTATATGAGTCCGTCAGTCCGTGCGTCCGGATTTGTCCGGTCTATATCTTCATTCCTTGAAGGATTACAAAATAATTTGGTTCAAACGGTCACCATGTTTGGATGGTGTGTTACACACAAAACCTAGGCCTGTCGCTCAAAGGTCAAGGCAAAATTAGCGCAAACCCCATGTCTTGAGCTTAACTTTTATTTGCGTGGAAAAATTTGAATATAACTCGGGACAAATGTTCAACATAATGAAGCGGTTTACCATACGTAAAATTCAAGAGTATGTGGTAAAGGTCAAAGTCACACTTAGGAGTCAAAGTTCAATAACAAAATATAACATTCATTTCCGAGTATAACTTCTATATACATGGATGGACTTTAATATAACTTAGCACTAATGTTCTCCATGTTGTATTGTGTTGTCTCGCGCAAAATGAAGGTGAGGATTACAAAAGATCATAGGTCAAATAAGCATATATTATTTGCGCTGTATCTTGCTTATGCTTTGAAGTATTATGCTTGGTGGTCAAAAGATTTAAATTGTTAAGCCTGCGTTTTGTGAGGTCCAGTTAGTCGCCACTTTTCTATTTTGGCAGTTTGGTGTATATGCGTCCGTCAGTTCGTGCGTCCGTCTAGATTTGTACTGTCTATATCTTGCTCATTCTTTGAAGGATTAAAAAATAGTTTGATACAAATGTTCACCATGATTGGGTGGTGTGTTACACTCAAAACTCAGGTCCACTGCTCAAAGGTCAAGGTCATACTTTGGGGTTGGCCAAAAACACGTGTCTGTAACTTCTACATGTGTGGCGGGATTGTAATATAACTTTTGACAAATGTTCTCCATAGAAAGGCGGAGTGTTGCGCGAAATTCAGATGTCTGTGACAAAGGTCAAGGTCTTACTTCAGGTCAAAGGTCAAATGTCAAATTAAAACATTCATTTGTGAGTATTACTTCTACATGCATGGATGGCTTTTAATATAACTTCGAACAAATGTTCTAAGATCAGTTGAGTTGTCTCTCGCAAAATGAAGGTCAAGTTAACAAGAGGTCAAAGGTTAAATAAAAATATCAAATTTTGGTTTCGTTTGCACTGTATCTTGCTTTTACTTTGAAGTATTATGCTAAGTCGTCAGTTGATTTTTGTCGAAACCGTTTGCGCTGAGCTCGACATACTTGTCGAAATGACTGTTCAGTGTTTGTTTGTTTGTGTGTGTGCATGCACCCAAACTTGTCCATTTCATAACTTCTTTGTGCTTAAAGAAGTTTTAAAATAACATAAATTGAGTTTTAGGCACATATTGTGACATCTGAGAGTTCATGTGTCTATGCCATACTCTAATTATACAATAACTACGACATCAATTACGGTTATTTTTATGGAATTATTTTCGACCTATTTTGTATACATGAAACATCCAACATGGGAATTACAATTATCTATAGTATTCATTGAACCTGCTGCTTACGACTGTCATCGCTTGGAATAGATGTATTTTGCTGATTTCGTGTCTGTTGATAACAATTAACTTTCATTTTCGTCTTTGTATTGTTTGCGCATGCGTTTATTTAATCTCGGTCATAGTTTAAGAGTCGGATTTGTATTATTATGCGGATCGTAATACCGGCTCTCTTATTTACAGTGCGCATGTGTAGCGGCTCTGTCTCGGCTCCTTAACATGTATTGTACATGTATATCGGCTCATCTCCGGCTCATTTACATGTACTGCGCATTAGAATCGGCTCGGACACAGTGACTGCACATGCGCGCTATCGGCTCAGAACGCTCAAAATCAGTTCCGAGCAGTCGTCTTCTAGATTTTCTTCTGAGCACAAGCATTGTCTCATTTCTCTTTAAAATATTCTTAAATAATTACATTTCTGAATTTGAGGTAAAGTTATTAAATTATATCACATTTCAATAGTTTAGATCTTTACGTAAATTCTTATGTCCAGCTTTTTGGGACATTTATTCCAAAATATTCAACTTTTCAACTCTGTTTTTATTTCGAGG